ACAGTAATTGTAGAGGAATGGCCTTTTGGACTTGGCGATTTCTGGACTGTATCACTGGGATAGTTTGGATGGTTAATACTGAGTTCTATTTTTAGGCTTTTGGAGTGAAAGCAGGAGCTCATGTGCTTGGCACCAGTTAGGAATTTTCCACTCATTCCCCATGTAGGGAAGCACTGATCTCACACTGGGCCGTCGGAGGAGGCCTTGCTCATATTTCAGTCATCCCACCATGTCATCACGCTGCACTGGCTTAGGTTGGGGAGCGAAGGGGAGCAGTGGCATGAGATCCTTTCAAAGGGAGTCTTTGGGGCGGCCTTCCTCCTGGATATTCAACAGAACCTATGGGCCTTGCAAGATCACTGCAGGACTCTGTTGAGCTGTGATGGATGGAAGGGTAACTTAGAGTCAGGTGGAGAGAATGGAAGGTTTCTTGAGGTTCCCTTCTTGCCTTAAGGAAGGGAGTTCTACAGTCCTCACTGTTGACTCACTCCATCGCAGGGCAGCACTACGTCATTCTGCAGGAAACAAAAAGTAACTTCACTGATGCAGAAAATTCATAGATTAGAAGGGTTGGTATCATTTCAAAAACAAGCACTTAAGAAAGAAGGATTGTCGCCAATCCGCACAGGCTGGCCTGAGCGAGCGGCGCTGGGCTGAGCCTGCATCTTCAGGAGGAATGTATTAGCAGGCCACCAGAAGGGGTTAGGGACAGCTGATGGGAAAAGCTGAACAGCTACCCTATCAGAAGTTACAGCCCCCAGTAGGCTATACGAGATAGGTCCTTGCACGCGACCAACCAATCAATACCATGGAGACGTGTTGCTAGTTCCAGTGGTAGGATGGGGTGTGAATACAACCAAGGAATTTTTTTTTTTTTTTTTAAAGTAGTCAGGAGCTGACACTGACTCTCTCAAACTTAGGTATGAAAACTCTGTGCTCATATCCCATCTGAGGATCCATGCAACTTGGATCTTGATGCTGTATCTCTAGAAGCATGGGTAGGAGGGGCTCTCTCCGTGTGTTCGTGCTTGGCGAAGGGTGTGGACTCCGGCTTTGCCGTTTCCTAGCCAGTCGTGCAGGGGCTGGTTGCTGAGCCGTGGAGCCCCAGTTGCATCCTCCACACAGGGAACTAGAACCCAGGACCCACTTGACAGCATTTGGAGGACTAAGTGAAGTGAAGGGCTTACCCAGCGCTGTGCCTGGCATAGGTAAAGTGTTTGGAAAGGGTCACACTAATACTAGCGTAGTAATTAGCCAGACCTTCCCAGAGTTTAGTTGTTCTCCTTGACATTTACGTCTTCAGGTTTGTTGCTAATCTTTCGCAGCTGATCGATCCTTCCTTAGTATGCTACTTGATGACTATAGTTTGAAACTGGTTGGTATTATAGGCTATGCTTGCAAAAGGGTGGTGAGGCAGGTGGGGTTGGGTTATCTTCCTTCCGTCTTCCCCAAATGGAGAGGGTGCAGGATCTATAGTCTCACCTGTCCCCTGCCTGTTTCTTGCTGCTTATATTCCCTCAGTGTTTTTCCTAAAGCAAAGATGGGTGGAGCAGGCCTGGCTGTCGGTACCAGCATTAGCTTTTCACCAAAGTGATTCAAGTCTGAAGGTCACCCGCAATCCCTACCATCATCAGCACTGTCTCCAGCTGAGGCCTGTCCTCCTTACTGGACCTCTAAGCCACTCCTTCCCCAAATGTCTTATTCTCCTGTGGCTGGCAAGTGTAGAGTGATCTCTTATAATTTGGGAGCTCGCTGGGCAGGACACTGTTAACATCCACCCAGGGCTTCCTTCCCTGGGGGGAATGTGGGGTGGGGGGCAGTGCTACTGTTGGGAGCTGAGGGAAGTGTTGGCTCGCATTAGAGCATTAGAAATTAGAGTTGGTTTGTTGTATTTTAAGTTCTGGTTGTTCCCTGCCTAACCTCATCTAAGTCTTTGTATCTTTCGGCACTCTCACTGTGAATACTTCAATAATGCTATTTTGGGACTGATAAGTACAGTACAGTTAACCCTTGAAGGACGCAGGGATTAGGGGCACCGACCCCCTGCACAGCCAAAAATCTGTGTGTAACTTTTGACCCCCCAAAAACTTAACGAGTAATAACCCTGTCGACCGGAAGCTTTACCTATAACAGTTGATTAACACATATTTTGTATGTTATATGTATTAGATACAATATTCTAACAATAAACTAGGGAAAAGAAAATACTATTTAAAAAATCACAAGGAAGGGGCGCCTGGGTGGCTCAGTTGGTTGAGTGTCTGACTCTTGATTTCCGCTCAGGTCGTGATCTCAGGGTCCTGAGGGCTCTGCACTCAGCAGGGAGTCTGCTTGAGGATTCTCTCCCCCTCCCTGTGCCCGTCCGCCCCCCCTCACACAAGTACATGCATGCTCTCTCTCTCTCTCAAATAAATAAATAAATCTTTTTTTTTAAAAGGTCAAAAATAAATAAAATAAATTAAAAATCACAAGGAAGAGAAAATATATGTACAGTACTGTACTGTATTTATCAGAAAAAATTCAAGTGGAAAAGGGGACCCACATAGTTCAAACCCATGTTGTTCAAGGGTCAGCTTTATTTCTGTTCTCTGGCTGTGCTTAGGAACTGAGGATTAAAAATTATTCTTTTTTTTAAGATTTTATTTTTTTTAAGTAATCTCTATACCCACCATGGGGCCTGAACTCACAACCCCAAGGTCAAGAGTTGCATCCTTTACTGGCTGAGCCATCTAGACATCCCCAAAAATTATTCTTGATGCTAGAAACAAGTTAATTTTTTCACTAGTTCAAGATTATTTCAGGTACAGAGAAGATTAGCATGGCCCCTGAGCAAGGATGACATGCAAATCAGTACGCATTCCATATTCGAAAATATATATATATATAATTTCAGGGTAAATACTGAAATGTACCCTCTCTGGAATACCAGATTTTCTTAATTTGTAGGAACAAGTTGAAAGTCAGCCGGCCACATTATGCTGTGTTAGAACAAACATAGAAAATCCCTGTGGTCTGTCTGATTGAACTCTTTCCCTGTTAACCAGACTTCAAACTTAGAATAGAATCAGGGCAGAGCCAAGAAGGTTTTTGTTTTGTTTTGTTTTGTTTTTATTTGAGAGCGAGAGCGTGATTTGGGGGAGGAGCAAAAGGGAGAGGGACAAGCAGACTCTGCCCTGATCGTAGAGCCCCACGCAGGGCTTGATCCCAGGACCCTGAGATCATGACCTGAGCCGAAATCAAGAGTCAGATGCTTAACCGACTGAGCCACCTAGGCACCCCAAGAAGGTATTTTAAAAAGCAAAACAAAACAAAAAAACAGAGCATAAGAATACGCCAATTCTAAACACATTTAGATCCTTAATATGGAGAAGCCCCTAGTATCTGTAGGATGTTATCCAGTTGCAAATGAAATGAAAGGAAAGCAACAGAGTTACAATAACAACTAACATTTATATTAGAGCTTGCTAAGTGTCAGGCAACCTTCTAACTACTTTGCATATATTAATTTCTTCAACCCTCGTAATAACCCTGTACCGTGGGCATGACACAGAGGCAGCATCGCTTAGTGATTAGGAAAATATCTACTCTCAGGTGTGATTGCTAGCCTTCAAGTTCAGGAAAGGCAAAGATACTGTGGGCTGGGATGGAAGGAGTGAGGCTTCGTGAATAAAATGGGGATCCTCAAAGGGTATATTATTGGTACGTTTGAGGGTATACCCTCAAAGGGTATATTATTGGTACGTTATTCTTTGAAAAAACCAGGAGCTAAGAAGTTTTGATGCCTGTGACTAAAATAGCTCTCATTTTATTATGCAAATAGAGTTTTACTTAGGTATTATGAAATTATGACATTGCATAGCAAACACCCTTGGGATGACCTGGGACCGTCCGTCCCCTCGACCCAAAGTAGCACACGTGTTACCCAGATGTACACATAGCAGCCAAAGACACCAGATTGTACCAGCTGCTGCTTTACATTGGATACGGGTTCTTTGGAGGTGCTGCAATCGGAGTCAAAGGAGGTTAAGAAAGAAATAACATTCACAAGACTCTGATGATATTCAGTCTAGATATCTGGTACACATTTTAGCTTCAGGTCCCTTTGGAGAAATGTTTGCTCTGGGAGTACATTCTATAGAAGGAAGAGACTTTCTGTGAAGGCCTACATTTTTAGTATCTCTAACGTGAAGAGGATTTATATAGCGCACCTTCCCTCGTTATTATTAGTAACAGTGAAAGCATAACTCGTGTCACTATTTCTGGTGACTCTGTAACCCAGATTACAAATTCAGCATATTTTCAGGTACTCCTGTTTTATGTCAGGGAAGACATATGATCTGAAAACAACTTAGCAGTCATTTAATTACAAATGGCGTTTCTTTGCACTGAAGAACATTTCAAATGGGACTTTTCCTCTTGTTCCTTCTAGTGATGCAGACAGTGCCACAAAAAACTTGGAAAATTTAAATTTTGGTGTTGGTCTCCTTACAAAGAAAAATGTTTCATGTTAAGTTTTCTGTTCAGTATTTATTAGGTAGCCAACCATGGATGTATGGATGAAAGTGTTAAGTGTAAGGGGACAGTTGGAAAAATAAGTACTTGCCCCTCGGAGAAATATGGCATGGATGTCTTCATGGTCAAAAATCTCCTACTAGTGATAATGATTAACAGTGTATAATAATACCTACCAGGGGATTACTGGGCAGGGCATAGGCATGCAAGGAAGTATTGTAGGACGATGTATACCAGAGAACAATACAGAGAAAAGCACAACAAGGGGTATTATTATTACATTGCAAGCTTTGCGATTTGAATGTGATATAAATGAATGAGTCAGACTCTGCTTTGTGATTTTTTTCTATGCTTATATAATGAGAAAATTATCTCCTTAAGGGCTAGACTTATAAATATTTGCTTAATATGATTCATTAATTAAACATGTGAAACTGCTTATCTAGCATAAAACTAGGGGACTCTCGGTATCCATTTTGTTTTTGCAGAATGAAAGTGCCCTTGTGAAAGAAAAAGAGCTGTCAATCGAACTTGCAAACATCAGGGATGAAGTTGGTAAGTAGGGCATTGACAATGAGGAACATAAAGACTGTCTTTTCCTGATACCTATGAATGTGTGTAACAACAGCAATTATGCCTCGTGTAATCAGCCAAGGCAAGGCTGCCTGGAAAAATGAAGTGTCTTCCCCAGCACAGTGGTGGGTGACTGAAGCCTTGTAGGGAGCCGTAATTTTTACATCTCTGTTGTTAGAAAGCTTCATAACATCACGGTGGAACTAATCTGGCCTCAATTCTGTTCTTCGCAGATGGCAGCACACACATCGTCTGCGTGGTGTGCTGTGACCAGCACCCCTCCGCCTAGGTCCCCCTGGGGCAGGCAGAGCTCCAAAGGAAGCAGGGTGCTGCAGGGTGCTCTCTGCAATCTATCTCTGCACATATTCCAAGGCTTCCTGCTGCCGTGTACCTTGCCGTGAAACACTCTATGATATAGAATGAGATCAGAAACATAAGCCTGGATGGGTTAAGCATGCTAGGGTTATGTCGAAACTCCTAGTCCTTGGCTGGTTCATGGTATAGCTCACTCTGAACCATAAGAGACCTTGCAGAAGATACGATGATCCCCAGACCGGGGGTGTCCGAGAGATGGATGGGCTTTCACCTCTAAGCCAAAGATCAGACCAAGTATTTTCCATGTTCCAATTTCTTTCTTTTTTTTTTTTTAAGATGGTATTTCTTTATTTGACAGTGAGAGAGAGCACAAGTAGGCAGAGCGGCAGGCAGAGGGAGACGCAGACTCCCCGCTGAGCCATGACCCTAATGCAGCGCTCCATCCCAGGACCCTGGGATCATGATCTGAGCCAAAGGCAGACAGACGCTCAACAGCCAGCCACCCAGGCGCCCCTCCATGTTCCAGTTTCTTGATCCCATTTGTCTCTTGGGGTTCTGTTCCTCTGTTTCCCCAGGAATCAGTCCACAAAGGTGAGATTAGCATGGCCTTTTCCCCCTGGCCTGTTCTCTTCTCTTTACAGAGAGCACTTCACCTCCATCCCGTGTGGCCCTGCAGGCAGCCCGCCAAGTGCAGGTGTGGCTCCCTTCACGAGTGAAGGGCCTTGAACAGTCCCAGCCATTCTTGGCGGATGGTACTGCACCTTTTCCTTCAGGCCAGCCATGCAAATAGGCCTTGAATCTGAAGACCAGACCTCCCTGGGGAACACGGGCCTGAGGATGTGCAGTGGACCCCATAGTGATTTCCGAATGTCGTTTCCCCTCCCCTCTATTTTTTCCCTTTTTTAAAATTGAGGGTTTTTTCTTCACTGTGAGTTTTGTGACTTCTTTTGTCATTGAGGTAGGTCAACAGTGGGCTTTTCTCCCCTCTAGGGAGAGCAGGCCCCTGTGGGAAAGCCATAAAGAACTGTTCCTCCTTCCCAGCCTCGCCTGTGTGTGACCCCGAGCAGCGAGTCTGCCCCAGCTGCAGGGGCCCCAGCCCTTGGCCATCCCCTGACGAGGGGCCCCAGTGCCTGGGCCCAGATGTAGGTTTTCTGAGGGAGGCCTGCCAGGAACCGCAATGGCGGAGTTTCTGAGAGGGGCTCCCGGGAAGCCAAGGGCCACGAGTGGGCGTGTTTCTCGAAATGGTTGAGTTTGTAGATTGTTCTGAGACTTAGTGGTTCTGAGCATGAGCTTTGCAGGCCAATGACCCAAGTTCAGGTAGAGCAAGTTGGCTGACCGCTCTGTCCCTCAGGTTCCCCTTCCTAAAAAAGGAAAGTCGATTAAAGGGGATACTGCTGATAAAGCAACCTGTAAAGGAGCTTCTCCCGTTAGGGGTGTAGCAGCTTAAATCTGAAAATAGAGGACAAAGTCTTCCACTGTTGCCTGAATTCCTCCCCCGAGGGATGTCTGCACACCCATGGATAAGCTTTGGATCTGGGGTGTGCACCCTGACCCAACCAGATAGGGTGTGCCAAATCCAGTGCCACTTCCCTCTGTCCTTTCCTGAAGCTTCTGAAGGCAGCAGGAACCACGCAAGGATTACACTGAGTTTTTGTATTTGAGTCTTACTTGATGTCTGCATTAGTGCTAAGAATAGAATCAGAAATCATCTGCCAAATGAATCAACTGTGGGGTGAGGTGGCGGGTGCAGAAGGCCTTGGCAGCATCAGGGCCTGGACCCTTCCACCCAGCAGTCAGCCCAGGGATGCTTTTGCAGCACTTCCTGAGCCACTGCAGAGCCTGCATTTGTGCGAGAAGGCGGACAGTGCACTGTGGAGATCTACTCTTAACTCTAAAGTCCGGGAGTTCTCCGATCTTGGCCAGCAAAGAACACAGTGAAGCTTAGAAAGCTGACTTTGGAATGATCATCTAGAAAGAGAGATGAGCAACCCTATCTCCTTACCAGCAGCCCTACCCTTATTTAGACCCCTGTCAGCAGAGTCAGATGGGGGCCACTGGAGCGGGGAGTCATGAGGGGCCATGGGGGCAGCAGGGGGGAAGGAGGGGGAGCTGGAGCTTCCACATGTTGTGAATTCAGACATGGAAGAGGGAGAACCTGCAAACAATCAGAATAGTTTAGGAGCACTTAACCGCAGATCCCAAAACAGGCCTGGCCTGTGCCACAAATCTAAAAATTACCGCTCAAACTTGTATTCAAGCCCTGAATTCCACCAGTATCTCCTCATAAGCACACATCAGTTGTTTACATCCTCGGTGGGAATAAATGCAAAGGCTTTTAGTATCTAGCCAGAATCACCTTAACTGGGGGTTCTCAGCCCTCGTGCATGTTAGAATCACCTGCAATGCTTTTTAAAGTAACGGTTCCCAAGACCTCTAGGGCAACAGAATCAAAATATTTGAGAATGGGGCCTAGGTTTTTTTTTTTTTTAATTCCCAGATGTTTGTGAAGTACAGTGAAATTTGAGAACCAATGAACTACATTGTAGAATGGGGATTTTGATTTGGGTCAGGGACAGGAGGAGGGGCTGTAGGGAATTTGGGGGTAGTCCTGGGAGGGTGAGGTCCCCCACTGAAGGGCTTTGGGCAGCAGGAGAGCCTAGGGAGAGAAGCCTAGGTGGGAGGGGAAAGGGTACAGAAAGGAAAGATGCAGAGGACAAATTCCACCTGCTCTGAAATTATACATAGAGTTGGCCCGAGTCCCAGAAAAAGGAAAGGAATATCCTCCTCCTTTCTTCACCTTGGCCCGTCAGGCTAGGGCTGTTGGTCTCTTGAGTCCCCTCCCGGCTAGATTAGATGGGCTTTCGGGCACCAACCACAGAAACTAATCCCCTGGTGTGTTTGCTGACACACTTCATATTTACAATACATTCCCAGTCGTGACATGTCTGGTGGAGCTACAACAGAATCTTCTAGAAGGTGTATATTTTGAATAGTGCCCTGATCAGAGATTTTGATATGTGTTATCCCACATTGATGGAGAATCCTGATTATAATAGTTTTTAAGTAGAATTTGCTGGCAGTTCATTTACAAGTAAACTTTGAGAACATCTCCTAATGAGTGATGTTTTCTGACGTCAGGTGTGTGGGAGATTTTTCCACGAGAACAACCAAGCCTCCAATACCAGCAAAGTGCGCAACAACTGAATTCAATTCTAACACTAGCCGTCCAGAGTTAGGGCAGACCCCACAGGCTAAGGACCAGTCTCACAAGTCTCACCCCACTTCAGATGCTGGTCCCACACTCCAGGGTTACCTGTATTTCTAAACAACTGGCTTCAGATCCAGGGGTTCCCACAACCCCCTTCGCAGGTCCAGTAAATCACCAGAATGACTTACAGAACTCAGAAAAACACTTGACTTGCATGCATTAGAAGGAATGCAACTCAGGAACAGCCAAATGTAAGACTTGCATAGGATGAGTATTTGGGGCGCGGGGCTAGGGGGTCCAGCAGCTTCCGTGTACTCTCCAGATGGTTTACTCTGCTAGCTCCTTGATGTGTTCCCCAACCTGGAAGCTCTCTCAATCCTCTGTTCAAGGGTGTTTATAACCCGGTCTCCAGCTTCCCTTCTCCCTGGCGGTCAGTGAGTGGGGCTCAAATCACCTTGTCTTTCCTGACCAGCCCCATCCTGAGGCCGTGCAGGGGTTCCAACCTTAGTCACCTTATTAGCCTAAGTTTAGGTGTGATTAGAAGGACTCATGATGAATAAAAGATACTCCTCTCACTCTGGAAATTCAAAGGCTTTTAGGAGCTCTGCCAAGAACCAGGGACAGAGACCAGTTATGATTAAAGCCCACCTAGGCAAGGTGCTAGCCAGTTATGGAGAATGATTCGTTCATTTATCAGGGTCCTGAGCACTTTGTATAGAACAGCACAGTCATAGCGTTTCCGAGCTGGTGCTGCTCCAAATCTTAAGGACTGTGGCCTAGTCACCACATTTTAAAGATCGGTAAACTGGGACTTGGTCAAAGATCTTGGTTAAAACTGGAACATCTGCAAGAAGCACCCAGAAGAAAAACTGTTCACCTTAATCTCAGTCCATTCATTCATTCAACAAATATTTATTGAACACTTAGTATGTCTGAGGCACAGGCTAGGCAGGGTCACCATGGATGTTGGGGTTGTTTGTACCCTGCAGTGGGGCATCCCTCTTAGTAGAAAATGACATACATCCACAATGCAGCCACTCACCAAGCCCTGTGAGCGGGCATGGGGCCACTGCCACCCAGAGAGAGGAGCACTTTTTTCTGATTTGCACAAAGCGACATGTGGGCTAGCTGTGACCTAGCACTATATACCGGTCAATGGTAACTAAGACTCACTCGTGTCCTCAAGGAGCTTACAGTCAAAGCTCCATGGAGAAGGGGCTGTCTGAAATGGACTTTGCAGGATGACTGAGATTTGGATAGATGCCTATAGGAAGGGAAAGAGCACAATTATTGAGCACCTACTGAAACCTGCTGCCCCAATGAATGTCCAGAGCGCAGGCCTGGCCCATTCTACTCACCTACGGAGAGAGAAAGTCTGTTTGTTTCTTCTCTCCATGTATCAAAAAAACCCCACAACTTCCCACAGTTATCATTTAATAGTTATAAAACACTTAATCATGCTGATAAACTAGAATAAGCTACACCTCTCCTTGGAGCACTTAGATTTTCCCCATTTGTTGCTATTATTTGCAGTGTTATGCAAATTACTTTTTTCCTCATGCCATCTTCTTGGGAATATATTCTCAAAGTGTGGATGAATCATTTTGACAGAATTTCATGTTTATTCTAAACTCATCTGTATGTGAAAGATCCTTGATATTTATAAATCGAGGTAAAAGATTATGGTGAATTTAATCGCAGTCTAGCGAGGGTTGCCTTAAAAGAGGAAATTCCATCAATATTTCTCTCTCCCCTCTCCCTCCTTCCCTTCCCCACCTCCTCCTTTCTCTTCCCATCTTCTCTCTCTCTCTCTCTCTCACACACACACACACACACACCTGAGAAGAAACACATAATACCCAGTTATGTACCAGAGTGCAGCTTGGGATGGAACATTTTGTGGTCTAGGAGTTGAGTCCCTGTAGAGTAGCTAAAATTGCTATCATCTGTGTAATATCCTGTGTGGAAACAAGGATCTCAGGTCATCCTCCTCTTGAAAGCCTCTCATCCTCAAGTCACCCTTAAGGGACGATGGCTCTTACCTTGTGTTTGGAGTTGACCTTAATTGGGTCTGTCCTTGGAAGAGCCAAGCTATAGTAATTGTGGGATGAAGGGCATTTTAGATCTCCAGGGGACCAGAATCCAGCACCACATCCAGGGGAGGAGGAGCAAAGAGGCTAGAAATAGATATAATATTTGATTTTTTAATCACTTTTTTTTAAATTCCCAGATAATGTAGTTCTTAAAATATAAGCCTCGATTTTTAGATAGAGTGGTGTTCTCCAAATTTGGAAGTCAAATAATGAAAAATTGAAGGGTCATGCTTATATTTGTAAATGCTGAAATAGATTTATAAGCTGTTCTTAGACGCAGATTATTTTCTTTCAAGATCTTATGCTTCAAGTTGCTGACCACCATTGGGTGGATATTTATGGTCCTCTCTCCTGCAAGGAAACCTGAACCTTAAAAAAAGTGTGAATTATTTA